AACAAACATATTGCTGGGAAATCAACACCATTGCATGATTTTTTTAAAAATCTGAAATCAATGACATTATGTAGAAGCAGTGATGGTTCACAAAAACATAACTCATAAAACTCAATGGCGTATACAGTACATCATTTTAGGCAGGTACAAAACCCACTCAACGTAGTGTTCAGTCAAGCGAAGGCAGTACAGGTGACTACAGTATTTGAATCAAGTCACATGATCCGTGCATTGTACCATCTACACTTGACATTCCTAAATGTTTTGTAAAAGATGAGAGCTGATTGTGTGAATGAATGCATAAGGTGTCTGTAGAAACGCAGTTGAATGGATACTATAATAGTAGTAAAGTAGTATTTCTGTATGTACAGTACCAGTAGGCCTTATTTGTTAAGTACTGTAGATGTCATTGCATTAGTACTGTACAAGCCAGAAAAACTTAACTAGTCTCTAAAGTGCCTACATTATTTATTCCTAATATAGATTAATATGGCTCAAAGTATTAAATATATAATAATAATAATAATAATAATATAAATAATAATAATAATAATATTATTGATAATGACATTGACAATGATTATAATGATGATGATAAATAGCAGGTAGAACCTTGTAAAACATAAACACTTTGTACTGTAGCACTATCCAGTACACCTGATGAAGACAGCATACAGTAGTGTATGGTACTGTAAGTAATACAAATACTGTAGCTTAATAGTCAATAAAGTGCAACCAGTGTTTTAAAATAATAAAGTAATGTATTTCCTTCTTAGAATCTAAACTTACTTCATACATGCATACTATATTTAGCCTATTGACCTAAACTTTGACCTAAATATTTGTATTGTAATGATAAAATAATTATAATACATTAATAACATTTCGAGTAAACTAAATTAAATAACATATTTTTATACAGTATGAATTATCCAGTACACCTGATGAAGACAGACAGTACTGTACCGGAATCAGTCTACAGGCTTGCCTCCTTGATTTCGGTATTTGTAATTTAAAAAAACAAGTGAAATAAAGATTGATTGACATAACTGTCAAATAGCTTGTGTAAATAAATTCAAGGTTAGTCAATAAAGTGCTACTCAGTGTTTTAAAATAATAAGTATTTCCTTCTTAGAATCTAAAATGACTTCATACATGCATTACACTAGCCTACTGACCTAAACTTTGACCTAAATATTTGTATTATATAATGATAAAATAATTATAATACAGTAATAATTTTTCGAGTAACCTAAATTCGATAACATATTTTTATATGAATTGTTGAAGCAATTTTTTATTATTTATTTTTATTTATATTTTTTTAAGGAATATATTTTTTTTAATTTTACTAATTGCAAATTTTTTAACTGTAAAAATAAATTTTAATCTCTATACAACAATAATTTTATAATTATGAATGATATAGGCTTAATTAATTTAATGTTTTTTTCAATAGAGCTATTCTATTTTTTTTTACACTGTAATTTGATACCATGTTTGTTGGTTGTTTTTGTGTTTACATTTTGATTGATGATTACATTTTAAAAGCCAATTGGATGTTAATGATTGCAATAAAGATTTTTAATTAAAGTAACTTATCATCAGATGAAATAGGCATACAAAGTTCTTTTTAGTACTCATTGGTCATATTGAATGCTTAATTTGCATTTCCTTGTTCACAGAATGCAATCACAACATCAGACAGACAATCTACAATATATCAAGTTATTTCTGCCTCATGGTTGATTGGGTGTTGATTGAGTGTTGATTGGGTGTTGATTGGGTGTTGATTGAGTGTTGATTGGGTGTTGATTGGGTGTTGATTGAGTGTTGATTGAGTGTTGATTGAGTGTTACAATTTGACATTCAAAAACAGCATTTACCTACAGTACTTCCAAAAACATGCAAAGCATAATTATTTTCGCAGTGGGAAAGGGGGAGGGGATTACCCTGCTGGCACCAACCCGCCTAACACTGTAAAGTGTATCGCAGGCGCATCCATGGTTGGTTTTTCATTTCCAGCCAATCGCCTTTTCATTTCCAGCCAATCGCCTTTTCATTTCCAGCCAATCGCCTTTTCATTTCCAGCCAATCGCCTTTTCAAACCTAGTAATTAATTTAGGGACGCAATGAAACAAAAATATTCATTTCGTTCTAACATTGGATTGGATGCACTGGGTACTTGTGCATTTGTCCATCTTGTCAATCTTAGATACTCATTCTGAAATTATTAATTTGTCTGACCTTCTAAAATCAAATTTTAAGTTCTAATTAATTTATATCATGGTGTCCTATTTCTAATATACTTCCATAAATTTTAAATATGAAATAATTTGAGTGGAAAACATTTAAAAATACCAGACTGACTTTTGAAATTAGAAAGTGTGGCAAACAGGCCACATGGTCAAGGCAACATACGCAACATTACCGTATGACATCCATGTTTGACAGGTAGTGAAAATTTAAATTGAAGTTTATTTTGTTGGGATTGTTTCTTATCTCATCCAGTATTTGGAAAAACAGTAATAAAAACACACAATATGTAGAATGGATATTGAGTTTTAAAATGCATGATTCACAGTGGAAAATGCACTTACATTTGCATTCATTTGCAAAAAAAAAATTAAAAAAAAAAATTCAACTTTTATTGCCTTTGCCCCTGAACTCAGGGGGCTCTTGTTGAGGTTACACAAAACCTCTAGAAACCTACAAACTACTTCATGGTACATCACTGCAGATTTTATAAATTGATGTGCCTTGGCACACCACAACTTATATTTATGTGTGCCACTTGTAAATCGATCAATCAACCACTCAATCTAGGCCCCAGGCATATTGCACCTGATGTGTGAAAAACAAATTGTCCAGGACAGGTAGGCCTGGCCTACACATTTTAGAATATCATTGGCTGCTGAACATCCCACACACATTCACTTCAGGTTAATCATTACTGTAAACTATTCATCTGAAACACGACAGGATAAATTCATTAACAAGTGCTATAATTATATTAGCAGTAATTGGCATTTGGTTTGGTTTTTTGAGCTGGATTTTTCAACAGCAGAAGCAGCAGCACGAAACAATTGAGGGTTTCCAATGTCATTGATTTTGTCCTGCTCTCCCTGGGGCCTAGAGAGGCTAGAGAACTCGAGAAGACTACATAACAATAATTATTTAACTAGGCCAATTCCGAAACTAAATCAGCTCATCAGGACGCATCTACAATTTCTTTCTGATGTAACACAGTAACATAAATGTAATATATAGGCCTAGGCCGGTTACTTACAAAGAACTCCTTAACCAGTGGCGGATGAGGGTCATCCGGAGTACCTCTCGAGTCGAGCAGTCCATTGTAACTCTCAAGTAATGCAAGTAGGACCTCTTTCATCGTGGGTTTCATTCTGCTCAAATAACCTTAATTAAAAACAAATAATAGTTGTCTTGCTTTACACTTTAGTATTACCAAGCATGTTCCATATCGCCATACCATACACTTTTTCTGCTTTATACTTTTAGTACCATACCCGGAAAAACAAAACTTACAATACAAATGTCGATCTTTTGCCTCGGGTCATTGATCACTCGACAACTAGTACTACTAAACTCGAGACTGCGCGAGAGGTCAACTCACAGCGCCCTCTATATCGTCACACAGAAATGTTCTGTTCACCTGGCACATTTTTGTGAATCTTATCACATATAGAGGAAATATTTTTCCAAGCTCTGATCGTGAGGTTAATGTTCATAGTTGCAGATATTTCTCCATGCAAGCATAATATCATGTACATACAGAATGATAGTGTTGTATTTATGGTAGCTATAAAGATTACCATAATGGCCGTGATTTTTATGGTAAGGCAAAGCTCCGGAGGAAAAAAAATTGATATGCCATCAACTACTGTAATATTTTCTGAGACACAAAAAACATATCTAGCGAAAAACTCGGGAGCGGTTAATGAGATACAGATGTTTTAATATTTAAAAACTGCGGGGAAAAGTGGTGTAACCACCCCTTCTCCACCCTTTCCAGTTGTACAACATATCAAAACTCCTTTTTCCTACGGAGCCTGGCTTTAACGTGAGGCTTTAATTGTTTCCATGTGGGACCGTAACGCCTATATATAGGGAAGAGCTTATTAGCGGAAATGTCTATTATAAATATACTCAGGCTTAGGATACGACGATTTACTAGTATGAAAATTGAGATGCTATATGGATGGATAGCGCAGTATACTTATTGATTGCAATGTGTATGCATTATTCACCATTATCAGTCGACATCATTATCTACCATCTATAATATCAATGGACCTTTCCTCTAAGCGCCGCCCCTTGGATATTGTTGCTAAGGTCCCACAAGACGGCAGTGTTAAAACATACGCGAACACGTGCGTTTGTGGGACAACACGTGTGTTTGTAAGACGCGCGTGCATTTCTAGCGCTGTTCTAATTGGTCAGTTGTTAAGTTTGATTGACACTCCGGAAAGGTCTATTATCATCATCATCACAATTGTCTCTTACAATTATAATCGTTGTCTTCTTTTTTATCATCTTTCTCTATTGGTTTTTATGTTATATAGTAATCTCATACATTCATCATAATCGTCGTAATAATTGTCATTATCATTATCATCGTCATTACTGTCATTCTCTTCCTCATCATCGCCACCATTCTCTTCAACATTATGATCATAATCATCAATATTGTCATCATCATATTCATCATCATCATCAATATAGTCTTCAATATCGTCATCATCGTAACCATTTTCGCCATTGGTGCTGTGGATCCAATTAGTCATCTTCATAAAGACATTCGGTAGTGATCGACATGATGTCGGTATTTGTATGACGTTTCTTACAAATTACTTTTTAGAGAAGCGGTGGTGGTGATTTGTTATTCCTATCAAATGGAATCAAATCAAACATGCTCTTATGCAATTTAATCTCATGTCAAGTTCATATATCATTAAAACAAAAAGACGAAAAGAGCAGAATATTTGAAAAAGGTACTTTATTTACATTTAATAATACAAGTCAATTGATTCAAATATTTCACTAAAAATAATACATACCGTATAACGCAAATGATGCTTAAAAAACCAATTTGTTTCACTGTTATTTTTTGTTGCATCAACAATTTCTTAGTTTCAAGTGCGTATACCTAATGTCAAAGGTCAGGACATACCAAGAAGCCAATCATACAGCGTATGTCACCATCTGTATGTTGTAGAGTTACATTGATAATTATTGGAGAGTTTTGCTTTAGGTCAACAACTGCATAGTAACAACGGTATAAAAGTGCAGGTGATATGTCGTATGATGTACATTGGCCTTTGACATAGTCATGCGCAATTGATGAGTACTGTATACTGATGGACTTATTTCTTCATTGTTCAATATTACAATTATATATATTGTTATACACTGACGACCCCAAGAACGTGGATTAAACACTTTTTATTGCAAAAACAAAAAACAAAACAAAAATTCTTACTTCACATTGTAATCTGTCTATCAAAATTCGGAGTTAACTCCTTGGTAAAAAATGTACAAAGTATTTATTTAAAAAATTACAGAAGAATATTATAAAACGGGTTGAAACTTTTCATTATTGAAACGCATTGGCTAACGCATTCTAAGCATCACTATTAGTTAATAATTTCAAAATGAGTGATTTTATCCTTTAAACGTATTAACTAACAAATTCACCTCTCCAGCCAATAATTTTGGAATGAGTGACATTTTAATAACGCATTTATCTAACGCGTTCTAAATATCCCACTCCATTTTCTCTGCTTACTGGTCGTACTTCTAGTTATAACACTCAATTATTTCCAAAGAAAATTACATTATTGAAATATCATTCCTGGTTCTACCTTCCATTGAGTTTTAATTTTTTTTTACTTTGTCGCCCCCAACCAAATGTTTTCTCTTCAATACGTCATCTGAATAAAGCGTGTTTTCCATAAAATTGCTACGCTTTCTGTGACGCCAATTGGTCGGGGAACATTCCCGATGAGGTGAGGACGGTTACACAGTGCAAACGATTGCAATTAAAACGCTAGCGACAGTGTAGCGATTTTATGAAAACCATACTTAACATTCATTAGGTTCTGTGGCCAGTCTTCGAATGTGAACATCAATTATAACGTTGATATTATGGGATTGCAGCATTTAAAATGGGAGTGGATTGGTGAATACAACACTGCATTATTCACACTCATTTATTCTACGCTCCTAATCTCCAAGTTGACGGAACGTGATGTTTTGGATGGTGTGATAATTAAGCGCCAGTAGTTAACCTAGAATAACACCAAGGTTTCTTTAGGACGTCGACCAAGCAATGTCAAAATAACAACTGATTGTGCCATCTCATAGTTCCAAGTATGTATATCTATATCAAATTCAGGGAATTACAATCAAAGGATGTATACTATCGTCTGTATTTTACAACACTTGCAACTACGAGATGGCTTTAGATAGGAATGAATATAGTACGCATCAGGTCATGTTAAATTTGGATATCCAATTTATGAAACAGCATTAATCAATGTACGATTGCAAATTTTATTTTCCTTTCTAAAAATGGCTTGAGATGTGATACGTATTTAGTAAATAATAATTTAAGATGTTTTCATGTTTTAGTTCAAAAATATTTGTAGTAAAAAACAAAATCATAACGTGCAGACGGTGCATGTCAATTCCGCACCGCGTGCATACGTTCTACAGGGAAGAGAGCTCCGGTCACATGCACCTCTTTCAATAGGTGATAACATTGCGCCATTTTCTTGTACTGGAAGTGAATTCGGTCTTGCTTCGGCCATCTTATCGACACAGATTGACTTTTGTCTGCCTTTATTCTCGAAAGAACTAGCCATTAAGTAGCCGTCATATTCAGCGAGCCAGCCTGTAGGGCATATGCTGGTACCGGGAACAGTTAGGACGGTGCTGCGCTGGGCCACTCGACACACTACGCAAACCGCTCCTCTGTTGTGTAGCGCGCGGAATGGCGCAAAATTGAGAGTGTTGTATTCGGTGCCGTATATGTACGATCGTCTTTCCTGTAGAGTTGGTGGTGTAGGACGATGTAGTACTGGGTCCAACGGGAGGCACTGGAAGTCGGCTAAACCACCTTCGTCGTTGTACCAAGAACCACCGACAACACCTAAAAGAAAACAGAAAAATATGACATACCAAAACAACACAAATTTAACCTCTGTATGTATGAATACATATCTTCTTCGTCATTACGTAAGCGTTCTACATCACCATCATCATTGTAATGTCATTGCCATAATCACCGACCAACAATCATCACCATCTGCACCAACAATATAAGTACCAATACCACAGTGATCAACCATCGCCAACACCGATATAGGCCTAATCATCACCCCGTAATGCAACTGATATTGTGTCTAGTACCATTATCATTATCATTCTGCTCTTATTATCTGCATCATAATGACCCCAATCATCAACACTTTCGTCACCATGATCAGATTTAAGAACATCTTAGTTTTTGCAAAAGAACATAGTAAAAACGCCAAGTGCACACTATCGAAAAATAAATATGGCGCCCTCTGCAATCTAGAAAGGACAAAACTTTCCATGGCAAATTGAGCGTCGTGAACATACCGAACGAAACAACTAAAGAACTTAACGGACACGTTGCTACCATGGAAAATACCTCCATGTACGTACTATGAGAAACGGAGTTATTGATGGGCGCTCTGCATGGCGCTCTGACACATTTTTACTAAGTGCGCCTTCTTGTGAGTTTGCTTACCTTCATACACTAATTCTGCAGATGCTGGACATGCTCTCTTTCCCCAGCGAATGTACGTATTCCCTATTGATCCGCAATTAGCTCCGTATAAATAGCCAGGCTGACCACGATCACCCTTTTCACCTGCTTTTCCTTGTATACCCTGTGGTCCCGCTGAATATAAATGAAATTATCGAAAACATGAATTAGTTATAATTTACAGTGTTTTCAATCAATTTTCCTATAAACAAAATCATATGTCATACGTTGGTAAATCCCTTAAAGACCAAAAGGCAAAAGTAACAAGTCATGCTATATAATTAGGTGTGGGGAATGGGATCGTTGAATACAATAATGTTTTGTTTGTGATATTTTAGGGTCAAGAAGTATTATTTAACATTCAAAAACTTTTTTACCCGGTATGGAAAAATAACTTTACAATAACACAAACACAACACAGCACTAAACTAACCACGCGCAGTGTACAATAAACTTCTTGTGTTACTTAAGTTGAATACGGTTCATACGTGTGTAAGACATCATTGACTCATGAGTCTAACTAACATTATATCAGATCATTTCAAACCCGTTACCAGTAATACTGAACAGCCGGGCAAATTACTTAACATCCGATCCAAAGAATGAGGTTAACCTTACTAGATATCTATTCATGACATATCAGCACATGATATGTAACATAACTAACACCAGTTCTACTTTCGTTTGTTAATGAAGACTGAATAAAACTATTCTTACGCAATCCTGGTGTTCCATCCCTGCCATTTCTTCCGGCTTCACCAGGTGGACCTGTTGGTCCAGGTAGACCGTCCCTACCATCCCTGCCATCTTTCCCGCGCAACACAATGGTTGGAAACTGAACGCCGCCTGTTCCGGTTCTTGTTGTCTGCTTACTAACTGTTTGGTAAAGATCTTGACGAAAAGACAAAATACAAGATATTTTCTATGAGTTATTATTGATAGATGTTTTAGGTGATAATTAGTGGCAAATCAAAGAAAAATGGCGTGATGTAATTTATCAAATAATTGTGTGTTTTTATAACATAAGACTAGAATACTTTCCAAGCTAACAAGCGTTTCTTTGTTTCAAAAAAGTTCGTTGATGGGTTAATAATTAAATAATATGTCTGTAAATTATTATAGAATTTTACACGACAGGCTATCAACGTCTGAGCTTTCGGGTGGAGTCGAGAGCTTGTCACTATTGCATGCTTAGGGTCACCTTAAGTAGAAGTGACAGCTTGGATTTTCATAGTTGTACTGACAGATAGAATTTTTTTTAAATACCAAGCAAAGGACATGCGGTTGATAAACTTTCATTTGTCTACGCCTAGTAAGATCACGACATTTCTCACGTTTTTTCTAAGATGGTCATCACAAAAAAACATAAGAGAAAGTGCCCTTTCTAGTTATCATGATGAGGGAATCATGGATGATTCGTAAAACGACTGGCTCTTCTCAGACGAATTTTCCCCAAGAGCTTATTAGGTTCCCGGAGGGTCAATTCGTCCCACACAGATGCAGAAATAATGTTGTAAAACATCTGTATCTATAGACACACATAACTCACCATTAACTGATGATCCATCTATAAATTGTATTTCAGTAGGTGGCGTTTCAATCGCACGTTTCTTTATAATTTTCTCTTCAGATTCTTTATTTGAATTCTGATTGAGTGTTCTATTTTTAATTTGCAATAATTCCTCCTGCAAGAAAAAAAATTAAAAAATTGCATTGTAAAATAATCTCATTTTCAACAGAATTTCAACGTAGCGTGTTCTCTAAAACCCTAACTATTCAACTTAATATTATAGCATAGAACCATAGAGAAAATAGATGTTCTATTTTCTCAATGATAGAACTAATTATTACTCAATAACACGCATAAGATTAACTGGATCCTTTTGATTATTGTATTGTATTTCACGAGGACCCTTTTAATCAGTAACAAGTGCATTGTGACTTTCGTATGCGCAGTTAGATTGAACTTTACTGCAAGTTCATGAAAGATCTATTAATGCCGACGTTTGCTCGTGTCCTTGTGTAAAACTAGCCCTTCGAATTTTACTTCAAACCGTTGGTTTTAGTGTGTTTCATGAATACAGCGAACCAAAGCTACAAGGTGTCTCATTGTCAATAGCGTAGGGCCTATTTTTTGTCAAAATTTCTGATAGTCTGAACTAATTGTACGCGCGCCATATAAGTAGTAAAGCGCCATTTAGTAAGATGCACCATATTCGGCACAGTGAGTCATCTTGAAGAATTGAACGATATTTCGTACGGTGTACCGGTTGTGTGTGAGCATGACGTGGCTACTAAGAAACCAAACTCCACCTAGAAAGGAAGTTATCCTCTGTGCAGGGGGCAAGAAATTGCTGATCGACTAGGCCACTCTGAGAAGTATTTAATTCGCTGTATTGACAACAGCCGGTGAAGGGGCCAGACGGAAGTGTGGTCGTGAGTTAGACCTATTGAACACAATTATGAAGTTGACGGAAACTGAAAGGCCTACGGCATGTCAATCGTCTCTAAGACTTATTTTTTTTGTTTTTATTTTTTCATAATCTTACAAGTATTGTTAATTAACCTCAGCAGCCATTTGAGTAATACCACTGTCTCATAGCGACACTGAACATTACATTCTGCAGTGGATATTGGCACTATACAATCCTTGCTGATTGATTGATTGATTGACCTGTCACAACAATTATGTAACGTATTACCGATAAAAAATGTAACTATAACAGTACATAGCCTAGAATATTATTATAAACTCTATTTAAACAAATGTGTTATTTATAATGAGACACTGTCCACATTATCATGTTTCAGTTGGGTCTACCTGTGTACTTCCCATAAGAGAGTGGGATATATCCTCATGCCCATATATAGAAAAATACCAAATCTGTCACATAATGTTGGAGAGTGTAGACAGAGAGAAAGTTTGCGAAATCAAAATCAATAACTAACTGTACAAATACGTCAAATTTTCGTTTTTGTTACATACGTCAATAAAGGTTCTGTTTCGCAGCACCAAATACGCAAGCCTTAAACTTAAGTTTGTAACGTGACCTTTTTTCGTGTTTAGCTGTTCAAGTGCATCGTCCTTCGGGTGGGAAGCAGTTGGGCCCCACATAAAAGAACACAGTACATGCTTTAAAGAAGGGGATTTTTTTTTCAGTGTAATGCCCCATTCACCAACGACTCACACCTCTAGTAAGTCTTCGGACATTCGGTAGTTACCTTGGTGTGTTTCACGCAGAAGTAAACCTAGGAACTAACCCCGGGGCCTGCGATAACTAAGTAAAAAATAATAAAATAAAATAAATAAATAAATAAAAATTATTAAACGTATACATTCATCCAGTATCATTCATGTGTTTTTCCCAAGGGAATTGTAAATAAAGCTGACAGTTTATCGATGAAAGCTGGTAATTAATCGCTTCTAATTCTCTTTCATGAATATTTTTATGACTTCTACTACTCTAGAGTTTATGTTTACAATGTATCAAATAGTAAATTCTTTACGTTATTAATTTATAATTATAAAAGGCTTAGACCCTGGACATCGTCAATATACACAAGTTAGAAAATATGAATAGACCTGATAGAGATTTGATTGCCAAAAAATACTGAATTAATATATTGAACAAATGGCGGATTTAAGGGGAAGCCTGGCCCCCACCTCCTAAATCAAAATTTAACAAAAATTAAGAAAAAAGAAAATTCTAATTAAATTTAAGTCTAAAAGTGCCATATCCGGCCGCCCAGAGGTGCCATAATCATATGCCCCACCATGAACAAGCCCTCCATAATTTATCAATCAAGATTTATATATAGATATTTCAACACGGAACATCACCAAGTAAATATTTGGTTTAACCTCTTCCATTCTTGACTACACTTGCAGGACTAAGGATGTCTAAAAAGAAATTCCACGGCAATGTAATTATCGTATTAATATCTAGTATTTAGCTGTTTCCTGAGGCGTAGTCGTATATTAAAGTTACCCACAAAAGGAAATAACAAATGATGCTGTGTTATTATAGGACAATATGAAAAATTAAGTGATTCAACATGTAAAAGTTATGCACTGTTGTTGTATGTGAAAGAGATAAATAAGAATATGTGTACATATGCCTATATATATAATATATATAAATATATATAGGCCTATATTTATTATATATATATATATTCATATTTATAGAATGGAAATTAGTAGGCCAAACATAAAACATTGCTACTAAACGTAAGAAACAAAAATAATAATGAGCAGACACTATAGGCCAAGAATGCAATTACGGACGCCCTAAACTAACTTGGTACTTTGACATAAACACGAACATAAACGGCCGTCGTGTACATATTCAAATCTTGAACCATGCCTTGATATCTCGCCACTACTTGTTAAATTTAGCCACTGACAACCTACTTTGGATTTAACTAAAGATATAAATTGGCGGGATAAATTAATAGACGAGTTGTCTGCCCTAAAAAAGCTTAGTAAAATAAATCCGGCTTATTATCGAGTATAAAAGCACTTTACAAAATTGTTCAGAATATGAGTAAATTGTGTGTGGTTTATGAATTTCAATTATGTAAAAGAAAATATTTTACGTATTTTTTTTTTTGGCTTGCAATTAAACAGACCTAACTCAACCTTCACTGCTCTGTTAAACACTATTAGGACGTATTCCTCATTAGAGCCACTGACAACCTACTTTGGATTTAACTAAAGATATAAATTGGCGGGATATAATAGACGAGTTGTCTGCCCTAAAAAAGCTTAGTAAAATAAATCCGGCTTATTATTGAGTATAATAGCACTTTACAAAATTGTTCAGAATATGAGTAAATTGTGTGTGGTTTATGAATTTCAATTATGTAAAAGAAAATATTTTACGTATTTTTTTTTTGGCTTGCAATTAAACAGACCTAACTCAACCTTCAATGCTCTGTTAAACACTATTAGGACGTATTCCTCATTAGAGCTATATATGACAACAACAATGAAGAATTCCACTAAGCCCGCCCTTAGTATAATTTGTTGCTAGGTCCCCACAGTTTTACAGCTATTTAAAGATAATTTCTACAATTCTGTTAAAATGTATCTTGTCTAATTTTATTAATTGGCGGTTTGCTTCCTATAATCCCCAGAAAGTCCTCCGTTGTGATTCATAAACTGGTGGGGCGTTACAGTCTGGCGATGTACACGATAATTCTAACTTATTACAGATAACACACTTATTATTTCCTAAAGCTGTAGTTGATCTACAAGAAAAATTATGAATGATACACAAACACGACAAAGTCAATCAATGATGTAACAAAAGCAGCTTGCCAATTAATATGTGTAGCAGCGTTGCATTAATAGATCACACGTTATGTTTATAAGGAATGTATGGATTAGGATTGGATTTTTGGGGTTCTTAAACGTGCACGAGTCTCGGGAAATAATATACACGGGACCAAATGCTTAACGGTGTCTTCCAAAAGAGTGTGTGATTGAAAATGCCTGGAAATTGTGTTCCAAAACTCTACGGGAAACACAGCAAGAGGGGGGATTGGTTTGAACCGGGAAACTTCAGCTAAACCCCGCTCATCTGACATTGTTGATAATGTGTGGGGGCGTCAACGGCGTAAAATTACGTAAATATACAATTTTGTGGGACATGCATGTACTACTAAATAACATGTTCTGATTGATTCCGTTGTTAGGTTTGATTGATACCGGAAAGCTCCATTACAATAGTATTTGAAAGGAACAAACCCGTCAACGAACTGAGTGGACTGATTGAAACAAAGAAACATCTTCAATTGGTATGACAATTATTCTTTAAATTATTTTATTAGGATACAAAGTGATCGGTTAAAATCGCCTGTGTTTCAAATACTGTAATTTTTTAAAATAAAAAAAGTTTTTAACAAGATAAAACAATAAAACATAAAATATATTAGATCATTAATATAAATTATCAACAGAAATGGAAAACTACAATACCTTGAACATTATAATTAAACTAGATGTTCAGATTTTCTAGCATTTCATTGAAAATGTATATAAAAAACTTACCTATTATAATCTAACATACCCTCTCTAATTAACCTACCTAGGCACAGGGTAATTGAGCGAGATGTGTTTTCCCCAGGCGCTCTCATTGCATAGTAGAGTGTGTTACAGACAGGAACGGAAACTCTGCATGCTGAGTTCACAATTCCCTGCCAAATACATTTCATTTATTCATATTTGCGACGGAAGTTTAACGGAACGTTTGTATAGTGAATCAGCTAAGCAATTTTTGAATGAAGACCAACCTAAATCACACATTTGTTTGTTTTGTGTTTTACTTTTGTGCTTCATTACCACACTTATTGTCACTATTCAAACGAAAGTTTATTTCTGTAATTATCGTTCGTCTTGAATGGGTTCTTCAGAATAATAGGCTTAATATTTGCCTCCTCATAAAGTAAAATGTTATTTGAACTAGGTTAACGTTATTCATTTGAGCACTACTCAAACTTCGTGTAGCCCTAATTTTCCAGACACTCATGAAATAACTTAGGATATGCATCAAGTTCCTGCAGACACGTAATACACATAAACATTAACACTGAAATTAAATTATTGCAAGTTAACGCAAAACACTAATTATCTTGAAACGTTTTTATCACAATAGGCTATGAATCATGGTAAAATCGTTTCATTAGCGAAACTTTGAAAACATTATCTTTGTATTGGCATCAGTTGTTCCGGAAATATTATTTTATCAGCTTACGATAATTAAAATACGAACTAGTTTATGAATTGCATAATATATCATTAAAGCAGCTACCATGGAATGTTGGGCAACTCGTCGCTTTTTTAGAAAGAAAAAAACGAATGTCAGAAACATGATTTTATTTGTTTGAAATGTAAAGATTGTAATGCCTCTCCAAGAGTAGGAAAATGGCAGTGGTTTTGTTAATTGCACAGATATCATATTATACGAAATATAATAATAAGTAATTTTATGTCTCATTTAGCGCCTACTAAAATCGAAGTCTCAAAGTGCTTGTGTCGTCATAATACACCTTATCACTGGATCCATCTATTGGCAAGAAACACTAAATGTAACCTTCTAAACTTCCTAGGGAGTAACCTAGACGTGAAGCATTGCACAAAGACCGGCACATTCAATGCCATAATATCCTACCAGGTACCCACTTACACTCCTGGGAACAGACATAACGTGGTAAAATGCCTTACAAGGA